CTGTTTGAAAGAAAAGGTCAGTAACTCAAGTTAGAAAGGGAAAAAGTGACATAACCACATGATGCAAAATGCTCTGGGTCTCTTTCAGAGAGGTGTGACGTGTCAATAAATAGGGGACACCTTCAGGGTTTTCAAACCAAGGCTAACCAAACAGGACTCATTCTAAACAACATATTTTTATGTACTTTTACCCTGCCAAGATGACAACACAAAAACTTAATAATGTGCAATTCTGACAATTATATGAAAACGAGGTTTGTTGACTGACAATTAAAAAGGTATTTAGTGTCCTTTCTGACCAAGAGTGATTTGCATCAATGGTTTATCACAGAAAGCAGAGAAAATGATCTCCTCATTGACACACATAGAGATCAGCACCACAGTAGGTAGCAGCAGAGATATCCCCGTAGCGTCACAGCAGTCCGTTTGTCAATCTAGAATAAACATAAAGGCATTGCTTAGTAACCTGATGAGAGGGCGGGTTTGTTCTGTCGATCCATGTATTTACTCTTATCTTTGTCACAAATGGCACCCTATCCCCTATATAGTGCACGACTTTTCACAAGGGCTCATAGGGCTCTGGTCAAAAGTAGTGCACTACATAGGGAATAGGGTGCCATTTGGGATGCAGGAACACTGTATCCCATCTGTTGTTGTTTAAACAACGCAAGAGGCCGGCTGACGCAGTAGTTGGCATTTTGATTGGACTAATAAACTCACCAGGTTACCAAGCAACGGGTAAAACAATAAATAAAACCTACACAACATCAGATACTGAACCAAATACTTCATCCATCTTTTGTATTCTACATTTAGCTTATTTTTAATTAAGTGGAAATCAGATCATAAAAGGCATAGTATATAGGTCAACTGATAACATATCATTATGTAATGACAGACTTGATTACATTTGTATCCAAATTACAGGTAATACGGATTTCCACTAATAGGCTAAGACTAATTTGGTAATGATAAGAATCCTCTCTGTTTTGGAGCAACAGACTCCTGAGAGGGGAGAGAGCGGGAGAGGGATGGGGAAGAGAGGAGAGAGGGGTGAAGAGAGAGGGGGAAAGAGGGGAAGAGAGAGAGGGAGAGATGGTGGAAAGAGAAAGGAAGAGAGAGGGAGAGAGGTAAAGAGAGGAGAGAGAGGTAGAGAGAGGAGAGAGGTGAAGAGAGGAGAGAGGTGAAGAGGAGAGAGAGGTAGAGAAAGGGAGCGAGGGGGAGAGAGGGAGAGAAGTACCCGTGGTTTGAAGAGAGAGGGAGAGAGAGAGGGGGAGAGAGGGAGGGAGAGCGAGAGAGAGACGTACCCGTGGTTTGAAGGGAGAGGGAGAGAGAGAGAGGGAAAGAGGGAGAGAGCGGGAGAGAGGGGGAGAGCGAGAGAGGGAGAGAGAGGGAGAGACATGGTTTGAAGGGAGAGGGAGAGAGAGAGAGGGAGAAGGGGAGAGAGGGAGAGAGGATGATAAGGGAGATGAGGGAGAGAGGTAAGAGATGGACAGATGAGACAGAGAGGAGAGGAGGATAGGAGTAGAGGACAAGACTTACCCGTGGTTTGAATGAAGGGATAGGGAGATAGAGAGAAGGGGGAATCGAGGGGAGGGGAGAGCGAGGAGAGAGAAGGGAGATACGCACCCGTGAGTTCGAAGGGAGAGGGAGGAGTGATACTGATTGAGATAGTGATAAGTGTATATATGGCTAGATGTATATCATTTCTAGTAGGTAGATAGGTGAGATGAGTAGAGAACGTACCCATTGTTATTAAAATTTTATAAATTTAGATGGAGATAGTTCTCTATTATTTTAATGATTAATTCATTATATTATCCCTTTATCCGATTTATATAGGGAAATAGTGAGAAAGATTGATAAATTTATATACTGGCGCACACTCACCGCACCTTTTGTTCGAATGTAGAGGGAGTGATAGATAGATCGAGAGAGATAGAGCGTCAGCTGTTAATATAGGTACGACCGATTGATATCTTTAATAGAGGTAGAAGTACATATATTATCTAGTGCTAGATGATCAATAGAGGTATACGGTTGTCTATTTCTCTCTTTATAATTTACTAGTGTGATTATTTTCCGTACGCATTTATCTCACTTTATAGAGTGTCGCTCTATCTGCTTTCGTCTATTTCTATATACCTCTCCCCTCTATATTAGCTATATATGATAGATTTTCTACTTTATATAGACACGATATATTTCTCACGCTCTATTTAGATATCTATACTTGTCTCTCTTTTACGAGCTTTCTACTCCCTCTATCTGAGATCTCTTTCCTCTCTTTCTCTACTCTTTCTACTACATAACTTTTCTTTTTCCTTTTATATGTATAGATGGTTTACAAATAGAAATTAAATGATAGGTCTTTCCAGATCGTATAGATAAGTCTCTACGCTTCTCTCCGCTTTTCCTCCTTTCTCGCCCGCGGATCCGGATTCCCTGCGTATCGAGTCAGGTCCGGCGCGGCTCTTCCGGCGCTCTGCGAGAGGCGAGAGAGGCGCAGACGCTGGGGCTCTGTCGCCTCGGCTTCGCCCGCGGTCTCGCGCGGCCGGCGCTTTTGCGCCGGGGCCGCTATTGGCTCTGGCGCCACCGCGGGCGCCGGTGGCTGGCGAGCTAGGGCGCGATTGCTAGCATGGAGAGAGATGGCGAGAGACACACGTACCCACCACCATGTTTTGGCCGTTCGCTCTGCTCTGCGTGCGCCGCTCCTCTTCTGTCCTCGCGGTCTCGCGCTACTTTCGTGCTCGAGTGCGATAGAGTCGTGCGCGAGGGATACACGGGAGGGCGCTCTTCTCTCTAGGAAGAGAGGCGAGAGGGAGAGATAGAGACGTACCCTGGTTTTGAATGCGATTAGTTTAAGGCTCATCTCCACAGTGAAGAGGGGCCGTATGAGAGCATTTTAAGATTATTTTCATAGAGAGCATCGTTGAAGAGTTGGGGGGGTCTGGCCGTGGTGCTGTAACACACACAACACACAACACACACCACACACACGCTTAATCCCCGCTCTGCATTTCCATGTAATCATGTGGTAGACATACTCACCTCAGGCTACAGTAGAAGCCTTGAATGCAACGAGCAACAACATAAATACTACTCTGGTTGCTCCAAAAGAGCAATAACACCTTTAAAAAAAAAAATCAACAACTCTTTCCAACATCTAGGAACCAATTACTGGCACTATACCTAAGGCACTAGCATATATTGACTGAAACAGGAGACCAACCTATTCTCCCTATAATGCTCCTCTATGTGGTCCACTGTATGTAGGGTAGTAGATTTACACATGGGATTGATGATACAGAATTGGGCAGAGGGTATAAAGATGGTATAATTCAACGTTTTCCCTGACCAAGATGGACGATGTTAGGATGCCAATGTCTCACACACACACACACACACACACACACACACACACACACACACACACACACACCACAACACACCACAACACACACACACACACACACACACACACACTCTCTTACCTGCATGGCCAGACAGATGGTGTTCACCGGACTGAGATTAAACTCAGGACGTCAAAGTAGGTGGGAGTTTTGACCACTGTACCACACCTTGTCCTGGTAAGGTCTTTAGGGTATGTACCGTCGTATGGGACTCCTTCAGGGGCATATTCCACACACTGACGCTGTACCACCCCACACCACTCACACGCACACACACACAGACACAGACCATACACAACCCAGACACAGACACAGACACAGACACCACACGACACCCACACCACACCACACATACACACACCAGACACACACACAGACCAGACCCACACACACAGACACAGACACACCACCAGACCACGACACCCACACCCCCAACACACACTCACACCCACACACCCATACACACACACATACCCAACACACAGTACACAAACACACAGACACATACACAACACTACCAGACACCCCACACAGACACACCACCACACACACACAGAACACTAACACACATACCCAACAGACATACCCACACACACAGACACAGACACACCCAACACACCACACCACACCACACACACAGACACCACTCAGACACCACACAGACACTACCACCCACACACACACACACACACCACAACATACACACAACCAGACACACACACAGACACACCCACACCCACCACACCACACACACACACCAACATACACAACACAACAGACACACAACACCACCACACACACACACACACCCCACACACACACACACACACACACACAGACACCACACACCACAACAACACCACACACACACACAACACCACACACACACACACACACCACACCAACGACCACACACAGACACCACACACACCACAACACAACACCGCACCACACACACACACACGCACACACACACCACACGCACAACACAACACAACCCATATTAGTAAATCTTTAAATATCACCTATTGAAATGACATAACAACATAGTATTGATCTGTAAATATCCCTTCATATTGGTAATATACCATGTACCATCCAGTTAACCACTAATACCACTTAATGACACTCCTCCTTTAAGCATGCCTCACCCCCAAGTGACCCTATGGTGACCTTGTGTTGACCCCCTTTGACCTCTCTCACCTGTTTGACCTGTGAACTTGAAGACCCCTAATCTCTCACCCTCCACCTGCTCCGATGACCCTTAACCCCTAACCTGGTTCTGATGACCCCTAACCCCTAACCTGGTTCGGTGACCCCTAACCTGGCTCTGATGACCCCTAACCCCTAACCTGGCTCTGATGACCCTTAACCCCTCACCTGGTTCTGATGACCCCTAACCCCTACCTGGTTCTGATGACCCCTAACCTCTCACCTGGTTCTTATCCAGCTCACAGTTCTTGTCCTCTCCGCAAGCTCCTGCTCTCCTTTCCTGCTTCCTCCCCTGCTCCTGGAAGTTGACGAATGACGAAGCCTACGAAGAGTTTATCATGAGAAGGCGATGAATATGATGTGATATGAAGAAGACTAGACGATCACTCTGTAGTTGTAGACAGGGCCCAGGTCCTCTGAATGGGAGTCTATGGCCCGGTACAGGAGTCTGGAGAGGACAGATAACACGCTTCAGAACCTATAGACTATAGCCCGCCCCAATTCGTCATGGTGTGTGTGAGTGTACAAAAAGTCTATGTATGTTTGTGTTACATGTTTAGATTTTTGGAATGGTATCTCTAAGTCAGTGTTTCTTAACCCTGGTCCTGGGGACCCAAAGGGCTGCACACTTTGGTTATTGTTGTGTGTGTGTGTGTGTGTGTGTGGTGTGTGTGTTGTGTATGTGTGTGTTTTTTGTGTGTGTTTGTTGTGTGGTGTGTGTGGTGTCTGTGTTTGGTGTGTGTGTGTGTGTTGTCTGGTTGGTGTTGCTGTGTGTGTGTGTGTGTGTGGTGTGTCTGTGTGTGTGTGTGTGTGTGTGCTGTGTGATGTGTGTGTGTAGTATGTGTGTGATTTGTGTGGGTGTGTGTGTGTGTGTGGTGTGTGTGTGTGTGGTCACTCCGCTGCTGTGGTGCTGGACTCACGCTGGCCATCCTTCAAAGGTGGAGACGGCGAACAGAGCCATCATCCCCTGGAGCACATCGTCAAAGTTGAAGTCACTGTTCTCCCAGTTGCGCATGGATCTCTCTGGTTTCCCCACATCACCGTCCTTATACATGATGTATGAACCCCTGGGAGGGAGACACATTCATAACACCTAGACACCTAGTCCTCACACCTTACCCAGTCAGCAAACTTATTATGGCCCAAATGGAGCCCACATCCACCTGAAATGGTCAGGCTGAGATGAGAGATGAACTGTTAAACTCACCTGCATTCAGGCTCTGTAGACTTGGAGCTGTCTGAGCAGGAGAAAAACTTTCCCTGCGAAGAGAAGCGCAGCCATTTTAATCTTGGTAAACCATATACAGTATATTTTGATCAACCCCACATAAGCTACGTTCAGTTCCCTCTCTTCGCCCCTCTCTCTTCACTTCGTCCCGCTCTATCTCTCCTCCATCCCTCAACTCCTTTTTACCTTGAAAGCTGTACTCCGATGCGCGAACATGAACTGCAGCAGGGAGGTGACGATTACAATGTTTCCAATGGTTCGGATGGACGACACCACAACCTGTAACCACAGCCCTGCGGAGAGAGAGATATAGATAGAGAGATATCGAAATACTAGCGATAGCTCGAGGTTATCTAGAGCGTGTCTCTCTATACATAGAGAGCTATTTAGATATCGCAGTGTCCTACGCGCGACTCTAGTCTACACATGGTTAGATCTACTCTCGAGGACGAAAGCACCGAGATGGGACCTCTCTCGTCGACTCTCCCTCTCTTTCCTCTCTCTCTCTCTCCTCTCTCTCGCTCCTTCTCCTCTCGCGCGAGAGCGCTCTCGCTCCTCTCGCTCGCTCTCTCTCTCACCTCTCCTTTCTCTCTACTCTCTCTCTCTCTCTCTCTCTCTCTCTCTCTCTCTCTTCTCTCTCTCTCTCTCTCTTCGCTTTCTCCTCTTCTCTCTCTGCTCCTAGAGATATTCTCGAATCCTAGATACGAATCGACATGACAACCTACTAACCACGTTCTCATGATGTTACTCATAGCCTCCTTGGTGTCCCCTTTGGTAGCCTATTTTCACTTGGTCTGGACTAGGAGTTAAGCTCTAGAAGGCTCTCTGGTAGGTGGGTCACCGAAAAAAGAACACTTCAGGTAAGTCATGGTGGAAAAGCTTTAGGGTTCACTGGTGAATCAGTTCCTTGTTGCTGTTAAAGACAACAACCAGCTAGGTGGAGAGGGGTGGTGAGATTCACTTTAAGGCCATTGGCCCTGTTGATGGCTCTCAGGAGAGGAGAAGAGAGGAGAGGAGAAGAGAGGAGTATAGATGAGCAGGAAGAGGAGAGTGGCGCCTACTTTACGGCGCTTCTCCCATCTTTCAAGGAGAGGCGATGCGCTTCCCTTCGCATGCGCTTCGCTCACTGCTCTTGCGCGTCGCTCTTCTACCATCGGTGTCTCGTCTCTTCTCGTCTTCGTAGCTTCTACGTCTCTTCTCTTCTCGTCTAGGAGAGGCAGGAGAGAAGGAAGGAGAGGGGATAACAGTGAGACTCACTTTGAGGCCCTTGGCCCTGTTGATGGCCCTCAGGGGCCGAAGCACTCTGAGAACACGAAGGATCTTTACCACGTTGATGGCACTGGACCTGAACACACACAGATACAGAAAAGGTTATGGAGAGAGGTGAACTACTACACCATATATCCACTACAAACAGAAACAATACAACATTTTCTTGACATTTTGTTGGAGTTTTGTAACCATTACAGTAAAAAGACCAACGCTAATGGTATTGCCAACTCACTGTATTCCGGAGGAGATGAGCGACACACTGACCACCACCAGATCCAGAATGTTGAAGTAGTTCCGACAGAACGAACCCTTATGGATGAACGCCCCGTACGCTGTCATCTACAAGGTCACGAACCAGGAAGAGAAGATCATGTTCACAGGAACCGTGAGATAAAGATTGTGATCCATGATGAAGTGAGTGTCTGCTCATGGTTTGTTGCTCAAAATGTCATGTTTTTCCCAAAGCTTAAAACACAACACTTCACCAACCTTTCCAGAGCTCACAGTGTCCATTATGTGTGGGGTAGAGATCACATTGAGAAGGAATGAAAGGTTACCTTCAGAATGATCTCTATGGTGAAGAGCCCAGTGAAGACGTGGTCTGCATAGCCTACATAAACACAAAAACAAAAAAGACAAAATCTGTGAGACAAAACAACCAAGTGATCATATAAAACGATCGACGTAAATAACGACGATACTTACGACGCCGACGGGTCAGACACAATACAAATACATACAAACAACAGAATACAACATCCACACACGAACAACAACATCACACGCACATCCAGCATCTAATAGAGGCTTCCATATCATCACAATCTGTGTCCAAAAAGGCACCCTATTCCCTACATAGTGCAACTACTTTTGCCAGGAACCCCCGGTTAAAAAATAAAAAGTATTCACTACATAGGGAATAGGGTGTCCCTCTCTCACACACACACACACACACACACCCACACACCACAACACACCACACACACACACACACACACACACACACACACACACACCCACACACACACACCACACCACACCACACACACACACACACACCCCAATACACATACACCCACACAACCCCTAAAAAGGCTGTTTAACTCAGGCATTGTTTGTTTTTTTGTTTGTGTGTTTTTTTTTTTTTTTTTTGTTTTTTTTTATGATAGAACATAGCCGCGCTCGCTCTCTTCTTGTCCTTCGTGCGCCTGTGTTTGCATCAACGACTGTGTCCGTGTGTCCGTTCCTTGTGGTGTGTTTTGTGTGTGTGGTGTGCTCTGTGTCTCTGTGTGGTTGTGGTGTGGTGTGTGTGTGGTGTGTGTGGTGGTCTGTGTCTGTGTGTGTTGTGTACGTATGTACTGCCTCTGTGGTGTGTGTGTGTGTGTGTGTGTGTCTGTGTCTCTGTGTGTGTGGGTGTGTGTTGTGTCTGTGTCCTGTGTCTGGTGTTGTGTGTGTACGATGTACGGTAGCCTCTGTGTGTTGTGTGGTGGGTTTGGTGTGTGTTGTGTCTGTGTCTCTGTGTGTGTGTGGTGTGTACGTGTGTCCGTGCCTCTGTGTTTGTGTGTGTGTGTGGTTGTGTGGGTCTGTGTCTGTGTGTGGGTGTGTACGTAGGTACGTGCCTCCTGTGTGGTCTGTGTGTGTGGTGTGTGTGTGTGTTTCTTGTCCTTGTGTGTGTGGTGTGTCGTATGTACGTGCCTCTTTGTGTGTGTGTGTGTGTTTTGGTGGTGTCTGTGTCCGTGTGTGTGTGTGTGTTTGTGTGTTGTGTCTGTGTGTGTGTGTACTATGTATGCCTGTGTGTGTGTGTGTGTTTTGGTGTTGTGTCGTGTGTGGGGTGTGGGTTGTCTGGTTGTGTGTGGTGTTTTACGTATGTACTTGCCTCTGTTTGTGTTTTGTGTGTTGTGTGTCTGTGTCTCTGTGTTTGTGTGGTGTTTGTGTGTTTTGGGTGTCTGTTGTGTGTGTGTTGTCACTTTGTACGTCCCTCTGTGTGTGTGTTGTTTGTTTGTGTGTGTGTTTTTCTGTGTCCTTTTGTGTGTGTGTTGTGTGTGTGTGTGTGTGTGTGTGTGTCTGTGTCTGTGTGTGTGTGTGTACGTATGTACGTGCCTCTGTGTGTGTGTGTGTGTGTGTCTGTGTCTCTGTGTGTGTGTGTGTGTACGTGTGTCCGTGCCTCTGTGTGTGTGTGTGCATGCATAAGACATAAACACACACCTGGTTCCTGAAGGAGTCGTTCCTGACAGGGTCCTCTGCAGCCAGAGAGATACTGCTCAGTAGAATGAAGAACAGGATGAGGTTGGTGAAGATGTTGTGGTTCACCATCTTATGGCACAGAACCCTGAACCTGGGGAGAGGGAGGGAGAAAAAATAGTGATCAATAGATAGCTAGATTTGAGATCTAGATAGACTAGGACACAGAGAGAGCCCTAATCATATTTCCACAGGCATCAGACAGACATTTTAGTCATTTAGCAGACGCTCTTATCCACAGCCACTTACAGTAGTGAGTGCATACATTTTCATACTGGTCCCCCGTGGGAATCGAACCCACAACCCTGGCGTTGCAAGTGCCATGCTCTACCAAGTGAGCCACACGGGACATCAGACATGAGACAGACATCAGACAGATGGGACAGACATCAGACAGATGGGACAGACATCAGACAGATGGGACAGACATCAGACATGAGACAGACATCAGACAGATGGGACGTGTGTTTAGGGACCCCTCTCATTGTCTCCACCTTTGCGTGCTTCTCTCAGTGTGTGTGTGGGTGAGCTGTCTCTTACTTGTTGGTGTTGCTGAAGATGAAGAAGGCCCTGGCCTCAGGCATGGGAACAGCCTTCTCCTTCAGCTGAATGTCAGACAGGGGCCGCGGCCGGGGGCCCACCGGCATCTCAGGCTCCTCCTCATCCTCTCCTACAAGGGCCACGCAGGAGAGAAAGGGGGAGGACAGGAGGAGAAGAGTAAAGGAAGAGAGGAGAGGAGAGAGAGAAAGTGTTAGAGATGAAGGAGTTGGTCAGTTATGTTGAGAAATAGTTTAATGAGCTGTAAACCTTTATAAACGAAGCTGGTATAGTTATTTCAGTTTGTTGATGTAGTTACCCCATACTATAACAATTACCCACAATTCATCAGTAAAAAAAAGTTAAAAGCCATATGAATTTAAATGTGTTCCTTTATCTACAAACCTGGACACCTGGATTAATTTGAAGTAAGGCAACAGTACACACTAACATCAACACACCCATACACCCCTCACACAGCATTCTAACATCAACACACCCCTCACACAACATTCTAACATCAACACACCCCTCACACAACATTCTAACATCAACACACCCCCTCACACAACATTCTAACCAGCAACACACCCCTCAAACACATTCTAACATCCAAAAGCAAACCCTCACACAACATCTACCTCATTACAATACAAACCCCATCACACACCGTCTAAACATCAACACACCCCTCCCACAAAATTCTAACATCAACACCCCCTCACACAACATTCTAATTCTACATCAACACACCCCCCACACAATATTCTAACATCAACACACCCCTCCACACAACATTCTAACTCAACACACCCATACCCCCTCACACACATTCTCCCTCACCACAACATTCTAACATCAACACACACACCCCCTCACACAACATTCTAACATCAACACACACATACACCCCTCACACAACATTCTAACATCAACACACCCCCTCACCACGCATTCTAACATCAACAACACCCCTCACACCAAATCTAACATCAACACCACCCCTCACACAACATTCTAACATCAACATACCCCGCACACAACATTCTAACATCAACACACCCCTCACACAACATTCTAACATCAACAACCACCCCTCACACAACATTCTAACATCAACACACCCCTCACACAACATTCTAACATCAACACACCCCCTCACACAACATTCTAACATCAACACACCCCTCACACAACATTCTAACATCAACACACCCCCCCTCACACAACATTCTAACATCAACACACCCCTCACACAACATTCTAACCATCAACCACACCCCCTCACACAACATTCTAACACCAACACACCCATACACCCCTCACACAACATTCTAACATCAATACACCCCTCACACAACATTCTAACATCAACACACCCCTCACACAACATTCTAACATCAACACACCCCCTCACACAACATTCTAAGATCATCACAGGCAAAGCACAGCAGACAAAAGAGAGAGAGAACCAGAATAACGTAATGTTCTGAATGTCCTGATTTGAGTTGGGAAGTCTCTTAATGGTTTGAGTTGTGTTTTGGTCCTCTGCTCCTGCTTGTTGTCTGGTGTGGTTCACCCATTAGAAAGGTCAGGCTTACTTTTTAACACCGGTACAGTGGTACCTGGAAAATCATTCGCTGGATACGGATTCTTATCTTCATTCCCATCTACTTGGTACTCATCAATGTTGATCTGTCAATACACAGTAACACAGTTACACATCAGACTCAATATGGACAGAACTCCACACCACTTAGTGAGAGTGGACACATCATCTGGTGTTTTCACAGACGATCAAGATCAACAATTAGACTGATGCTAACTAAACCAAACATATTTGATGTTGTTGAATCTGTAATGTGAAGTATTGACTTGACTAGATAATATTAGATTACAACTTGGAGGAACTGGTGTCTCCAGTCAGGTGTGTGTATGTCAGGAGGACAGGTGTATCTAACGAGGACAGGTGTGTCTAACGAGGACAGGTGTCTCTAACGAGGACAGGTGTGTCTAACGAGGACAGGTGTATCTAACGAGGACAGGTGTGTCTAACGAGGACAGGTGTTTCTAACGAGGACAGGTGTGTCTAACGAGGACAGGTGTGTCTAACGAGTACAGGTGTGTCTAACGAGTACAGGTGTATCTAATGAGGACAGGTGTGTCTAACGAGGACAGGTATGTCTAACGAGTACAGGTGTATCTAACGAGGACAGGTTGGTCTAACGAGGACAGGTGTATCTAACGAGGACAGGTGTGTCTAACGAGTACAGGTGTATCTAATGAGGACAGGTGTGTCTAACGAGGACAGGTATGTCTAACGAGTACAGGTGTATCTAACGAGGACAGGTTGGTCTAACGAGGACAGGTGTATCTAACGAGGACAGGTGTGTCTAACGAGTACAGGTTTATCTAACGAGGACAGGTGTATCTAACGAGGACAGTTGTGTCTAACGAGGACAGGTGTATGTAATGAGGACAGGTGTATCTAATGAGGACAGATGTGTCTAACGAGGACAGGTGTTTCTAACGAGGACAGGTGTTTGTAATGAGGACAGGTGTAACTAACGAGGACAGGTGTATGTAATGAGGACAGGTGTATCTAATGAGGACAGGTGTATCTAACGAGGACAGGTGTATGTAATGAGGACAGGTGTATCTAACGAGGACATGTGTATCTAACGAGGACAGGTGTATCTAACGAGGACAGGTGTATCTAATGAGGACAGGTGTATCTGAGACATACCTTGGTGGCATTGGTTGTCTCTCCGTCTGAGGTGATGGACTTCAGCTCAATCTTCTCCTCCTTCTTCTCTTCTGTCTCAATCATCGGGGGCTTTTCGTTGACATGACGTTTCTCCGGACTGGCCATTCTGTGTCAGAATGGAGAAAAACCACTCAGACATACACACTTGAATGGATGTGGATGCATGTACACACACACACACACACACACACACACACACACACACACACACACACACAGACAGACAGACACAGACACACACATCATACAAATTACCTGGCCAGCTTCTTCCTCTCCTTCTCCTCCTCCTCCTCTTTCTGTGCTGACGTCAGACTCTCAGCATCAGCCAGGTTGTCCACAGCGATGGCCAAGAAGACATTCAGGAGGATATCTGGTCAGGGAGGTGGAGTCAAGGAAGTATGGACACAGAGGAAAAGGGCTTCAGCTAGCAAACAGTAGGGATTACAATGAACTGTCAATTGCCGGCTGATCACTCACAATGAACGTTCTTTGTTGTGGAGAACATTACACCTGGGTGATGAGTTGAGTTGACAACAAACAACCAACCCTGATACTTGAGTAGCCTGGATTCCAAACTGAATATCACTCTGTTTTACCTCATATCGTTTGGATTCCAGGCTACTACTAGTCATTGCGGAAACATTTGAGATAGTTCATTGGAATACCTCTGTTAGGCTATCAATATCAGCTGATGTGTCACATGATTGACAGCTTATCGGTCTGCACTTAAAGCATCATGTCCTCCGTCAGTGGGACGGCCCTAACTCCACACATCTGGCCTGTTCTTTAAAAGGATACAGTTTCCACAGATGAAGAGGATGATGAAGTAGATGCAGACCAGCATCCCTGGGAAGGACGGCCCTCCGTAGGCCATGATGCCATCATACATCACTGAGTTCCAGTCCTCACCTGTCAGGATCTGAGAACACACAGACAGGGACAACAGATGGAGGAGGACAACTACAACTCGAATAACTATTGCACCACAGACAACAACAAAGTTACAGTTACTCAAATGAATAGACCTTGAGAATAGAGTAGAGTGGAGTAGAGTAGAGTATAATAGAGTACAGTAGAGTAGACTATAATAGAGTAGACTAGAGTAGAGTATAATAGAGTAACGTAGAGTAGAATATAGTAGTATAATAAGTAACAGTAGAGTAGACTATAGTAGAGTATAATAGAGTACGTAGTAGTGAACTATAGTAATAAGTCGAGTAATAAGTAGTAATAGTACGTAGCAGTAGATATACTATAGTTAATAAGTACAGTAGAGTAGACTAATAAGTACTATAATAAGTCAGTAGTATAAGAGTAGATGTAGTACGTAAGTAGATTAGTAGATATAATACAGTACAGTAGACTAGTAGATAAATAGATACGTAGTAATAGATAGTAACTAAGTAGAGTATACTAGAGTAAGGTACTAAGTACTAGTAAGTATAATAGAGTACGTAGTATGGTTATAGAGTAATCAGTAACTCTTTTTGGGGACCTAAAAAATTTTTTGAAAAAACCCCTTTTTTTTTGGGGAAAAAAACCCCATTTTTAAAAAACCCCGGGGTTTAAAATTTTAAAAAATTTTGAGTTTTTCCCTAACAACACCAAAAACCTGTTCTTGAAGTTAAACCCCCTGGGTTTTAAAAAAAAAAAGGGGAATTAAACCCCCCCCCCCGGGTCCTGTTAACTCCATTATCCTTTGGATTCCCAAAAAAGGGGGGGCTACAATAAAATTCCCCCAAAACATTTTAAAAAAAAATTTTGGGGGGAAAATTTTGGGCGGTTAAATTATTTAGGAAAGGGAAAAAATTTTTAAAAAGGGCAAAATTCTGATAAAAACTAATTCCCCCCGGGGGGGGGCCCCCCTCCCCCCTTGTTTTTTTTTTGGTGGTTGGCTTTCCCGGCCTAAACCCCCGTTTGCCCCCGGTTTTTCGGTTCCCCGGGGCCCGTGGTCCCTCTGTGTCCCCGGGAAAAAAGGGTTTTGTTTTGGGGTTGGGGGTTTTTTGGGGTGCTTTGGTTGGGGTTTTGGTTTTTTTGGGGGTTTTGTCTGGGTGTTTTGGTCGTTTTTGAAAAAAATTTTGGTCGTGGTTTTTTTTTTTAAAATTTTTGGGGTTTTTGGGGGGCCCCCCTTTTTTTTTTTTTGGGTGTGGAAAAGGTTTGGGGGAAAAAAAAGGGTTAAAAAGGGGAAAAATATAAAGAACAATATAATAGATAATAATAATAAAGTAAGTAAAAGAAAAAAGGGAAGAAAAAATAATAAAAAGTAATAATAAGTAGATTTAAAAATAAAGTCAGTAATAAAATAAAGGAGTAATAAGTATAAATGGGGGGAAAAAAAAAAAAGGGAAAGATAAAGAGTAATGGGAAATAAGAAAATTTTTAAATAAAAAGAAAAAATTTTAAAAAAGGGGGAATAATAGAGTACAGTAGATAAAAATTTAATAAAAAAAAAGGGAACTAAGAAATTAAAAAGTACAGTAAGAGATAAAAAGAAAAAAGGGGGTAGAGTTAAAAAATTTAAAGTAATAGACTTTAATTAAATAAAAGTGGGGAAAATAGTAAATTAATAGAGTAAAGTGGGGAAACTATAGTTTAAAAATAAGGATAAGTTAAAATAAGAAAAATAAATAAAGGTTTTTAGAAGCATAGAGTACATAAAATTAAAAGGAAAAAAAGAGGAAGAAATTTTAAAAAGGGTTAAGAAAATAAGAAAAAAAAAAGAAAGGTAGACTTTTTAAAAGGGACTAAGAAAATTATAAGAAAAAGAGAAAAAATAGTAAAAAAAAAAAAAGGGGGATTAATGGTTAAGATGATGGGGAAAAAAAAAAATTTTGATTAATTTAAAAAAAGGGGGGGGTTAAAAAAAAAAATGAAATTTAAAGTTTAAAGGGAGGAACCCCAAAAATAGAGTTTTGACTGGTTTAATAGTGGGGGTTTTTGGGGAATTAAAAAAAGATTAAAAAAGTGGGCCCTAAGGGTTAAAAATAAAAGAAGGGGTTTTAGAAAAAAAGGGGGTTTTGGGGGAGTTAAAAGTAAATAAGAACAATTTTTAAATAATAAAAAGTAGTAGAAGATATAAAAAAAGATACAGTAGATAAATTAAAAAAAATTTATAAAAAAAGGAGTAATAGAAGAGTAATAGAGTAATAGATAAGAATGAAAAAAAGGGGCCCCTTTTTAAAAAGACTTTAAATTTTAAAAAAAGGAATAATAAAATGGGGAAAAAATTTAGACTAGATATAATAGAAAGTAACTAATTTTAAATGAAAGCTAGACTTATAAGTAATAAATAAAAAGTAAAAAGTATAATAAATACAATAGACTAAAATAGAACTAATAGAACCGAACAGATTCTCCATCATTCTCCCTTCTCTCCCTACCTGAAAGACGGGGGGGGGGGAGTTGTCGAAGGTTAACCCCCGCTCCCGAAATTAACTTGCCTCCGAAAAGCTGCTGCCGACGGGAAGATTTAAAAAAAAAGGGGGCAGTAACAGGGAGGTGGGGGGGAACCCCCACGCCCCGGTTACCAAAGGGTTCCATACCTAAAAAACCGGGGGGGGAAAAGAGGGGGAGAGAGAGGGGGGAGAGAGAGAGAGAGAGAGAGGGGAGGGGAAAAAAAGAAGAGGGAGAGAAGAAGGAAGGGGAAAAAAGGGGGGGGCGGGCCTTTTCCCCCCTTTTTTCCCCCGGGGCCCCCCTTTTTCCTCGCTCCCCAAATTCCTCCTTCTTCCCTCCCCCTCCCCCGGGGGGGGGCTCGTTTTCCCCTTTTTTCCCTTCCCCCTTTTTCCCTTTTTTTCTTTTGCCTTGTTTTGGGGGAAAAAAAAAGGGGCCTCCCCCCCCCGAGGGGCATTGAACAAAGGGCCCCCCTTTAAGGGCTTAACCTAACCCAAACCCTTTCCCTTTCTCCCCCTTCCTAAAACCCCCCCAACCACAAAAACCAAAAAAAGGGGGGGGAAAAAAAAGGGGGTTTTTGCCCTTTTTTGAAACCCTTTTTAAAAAGTGCTAAAAGGGAATTTAAACCCCGGGGGGGAAAAAGGGGGGGGTTTAAACCCCTTTCCGGTTTGGGGCGGGGGGTTCCCCCTTTTGGGGGGGTGGGCCCCTTTTTAAAAAAAAATTAACCCCCGGGGGGCCCCCCCCTTTTTTCCCCGGGGGTTGGACGGGAAAAAATAGTACAGGTTTCTTCGGGGAATTTCGGAAAAACGAAACTGGGGGTTTTCCCGGGAAAAAATGGATACCCTTGGGGAGGGGAAAAGAAAAAGGGAAAGGGAGGGGGGGAGGGGCCCCCAAAAAGGCTGGGGGGGGGGGGAAAGAGGTTAAAAAAAAAAACCCCAATTGGGCCCAAAAAAGAAAACCCCCTTTTATAAAAAACCGCCCCCAAAACAGCTTTTATTTGGGGGCCCCTTTAAAAAGGGCCCCTGGGCAAGGGGGGCCCCCCGGGCCCTTTTAAAAAACCCCCCCCGTAAAGGAAAAGGGGAAAAACCCGGGGGAAAAAGAAGAACCAACGTTTAAGGGGAAAAAAAAAGGGGCAAAAGGGAAAATGAAGAAGAAAAACCAACTTTTCTAGAAGAAAACCAACATTAAAAAAAGAACCGACAGTGAAAAGAAAGAACCAACAGTACTAGAGAAAAGACCAGAATGACTAGAAAAGAAAAAAAGTGAAAGAGAAAGACCAAGGAAAAGAAAAACCAGACAGTGACTAAAAGAACCAACGGACTAGAGAAAAGACCCGACAGTGATAGGAAAAAAAACAACAAAAGGGAAAAAAAAACAGAAAAAACCAGGTTTAAAAAAAAAAGGTTTAAAAAAAAAGACGGATAAGAAAAACCAAAAATGAAGAAAAAACCCGAATAAGAAGGGGAAAAAAATTTTTAAAAAAGGGCCCCCAAAAAAGGGAGGGTGCAAAGGAAAACCCAAAGTCCCCGAAAAAAAGAAGGCAAAGGGAAAAAATTTTCCCAAAAAAAAAAAGTCGGGGGCCAAGGGGTAGGAAAAACCAAATGAAGGGAAAAGAAAACAACTGGGAAAAAAACAATTTAAAAAGAACCAACCCCAAAAAGGGAACCCAAAGGGCTGGGGAAAAGGGGAGGAGGGGGTGGGGGGGGGGGGGGCGGAAAAAAAGGAAAAACCGGGGGAAAAAAAAACGAAAAACCCCAGACGAGGGGCCCCCCAATGGAAAAAAAGGGGGGGAAAGGGGAAATGACAAAAAAAAAAACAAAAAAAAAACCCAAAAGGGGAAAAACCAATTTTAAAAAAAAGGACCAAGGGGGCTGAAAAGAGCCAAAGGAAGGGGAAAAACCAAAAGGGCAAAAAAAAAAATATAAGGGGAAAGGGCAGGAAAAAAACCAAAAAAGGAGAAAACCCCCCCAAAAAAAAGGGGCCAATAAAGGGAAAAACCGGGGGAAAAAATAAGGGGAAAAAAAATTTTTTTTTCCCCCCATAAAAAGGGGGAAATGAAAAGAAAACCAAAGGAAAGGGGAAAAAACTTAAAGAGAAAACAGGGTAAAAAAAGGAAAGAAAGGCCCAGGAAAAAAAAAAAATTAAAAAAAAAAAATTAAAAAAACCAAAAAAAAAAGAACCAAAGGGAAGGGAAAAAAAACGGGGGAGGGCATTTGGGGGAACCCAATAAAAAACCCCGGGGAAAGGAAGAAAAGAAGAGAGGAAAAAACCCCCAAGGGAAAAAAAGGCAAACAGGGGGAAAAATTTTAAAGGGAAAAGGGAATTTTAAAAAAAATAAAGGGGGAAAAACCCCTAAAAAGGAAAAAAGCATGAAAAATTTTAAATCCAGATTTTTAAAAAAAAAAATGGGGCCCTTTGGGCAAAAAAAACCCGGTAAAAAAATAAATAATATGGAAAAAAATTTTTTTTTCCCCCGGGTTTTAAAAAAGGAAAGAAATTTTTTTCCCCCGACCCAAAACCCCCCTTAAA